ATATTCTTAATGCATGAAAACTTTTTAAGTATCTAATTAAATATGCTAGTATTTATTAATCGTATACTTGCATTAACGATTAATTTGTAAAAACATTACAAAGTACAATATATGCACAAACCGTCTGGATGTGGAACAATTTTAAGTGTCCGTTACCACTTCCAATCTCCAAACTGCTAATCACTATAGAGATATGTATATCTCTGTGTATATGTATATAGGACACTGTATCTTTCATAGTTTTTCTTTACAGCCTTTGTTTATGATCATAATTAGTAATCTTCTGTTTGTATTCACCATTTCCATGACAGGAATCTACAGTGTCACTCACAGGGCAGGGCCCTGAATAACTATGTTGTTTTTAGCAATACATTAAAAATATTAAGCATAAATCCTGTGGTCTGATCAGAGAAAAGCAGATATGAATAGGTACCTTTTTTGTTAAGGAAAAAAAAGGAGGGTGGGGGGACATGCAAAGACTATTACATTATCATTTTGCCAGCTCCTCTGAGTTGTTGATCAAAACAGAAAAGCCTGACACGTTTTTCTGTTCCTCACGTTTGTTTTCTTTAGGGTTCAGTCATTTCATACTATTAACATTTCACAAAATGGAAGTTGTGACTCAGACTTGTTTTCCGAAACTTCTTTTGGAAATCACAATATTTTAAGAGGGGAATCTGTTTTAGGTCTTGGTATTTTCATAAATGCTCTGTAGATGACATGAATCCTGGTTGGGTGTTTTTTTGGTAACTTCCTTTTTTCTCATTGTAGTAGATGGAAGCAGAGAGCCGAGTACAGTAGAGGAAGAATTCAGGAGATGTAGGGTAGGATTGGAGATGCTACCCTAATGACTGAAAGCCTGAACAGATTGTAGGGCTGCTTGGTCTGTCAGTAACGTTTACAGGTTTTGGACTGAAATGACCCAGCTTGGGTCAGAAGTAGGTGACCAGGCAGGTGCTAGGACCCAGTTTCCACTGCTGCTGCTTCTGTCTCTGGTGGCAAGGGGAATGCTCCCACAACTGGTGCTTCTTTTCACCACCACTGAAGCTCCACATCTGCAGACCAAATCAAACAGCTTCCTGGGCCAGGTCTGGCCCACAGGCTTTAGGTTGTTGACCCTTGGTCTAGAGAGAAGACAAGTGGGAAAATAGCAGTGCCTTAGTGGCTTCCATCTTATGTTCCAGAATCTCAGTTTCCATGAAAAAATAAGTTTAACGAAATTAGAACTAAATTTTAAAGGATGAGACCAGATGTGGAAGAAAAAGCAGAGGGATAAGCAGGGTAGAAAGACCAGAAGTATGGTTCACAGAGTTTAGGAGAGTGAAAAGCACAGTGTAAGTCAACAGCAAAATGATAAAAATTATACTTGCTTACCCTGCAAGACAGCCAAGATCTCAAGTATCATTGCTTGCATAAAGGCTAAGGACTGAAGTTACACACCAACCACTTTAAGTGATCAGGAACCAATTAAAACCTATAACAGAACAGAAGTTCAGTGCACTTAAGCCTCTTTCAAAAAGGCCAAAACTGGTTTAAGATGAATCTGGTTGGATTTAGTATCAGACTTAACTGATTCAGGTTAAACCTGTTTATGGAACTTCTGTCTCAGATCCTCTCCCAATCCAGATGAACTCACAGCCCTCCAGCAGATACTGTGTAGCCCTGGGCTTTGCTCTCTGCTCCAGCAGAGCAGGGCTGGCCCCACCCCAGCTGTTAGCGGGGGCTTTTCCATCCTCCGCAGCCATGAATTGGGCTGGCCCTGCCCACTCCTTGGCTGGTGATCAGCCAGGCTCAGGCAGGGGGAGTAGAGCCCCCACTGTGCCCCCCCACCCCTGTCCCTGCCAGGCACAGCCCAGCTGGGGGTGCACAGCTTGGGGAGGGGCTCCCCCCTACTCCCTCCTCAGGTGGCCTGCTGGCAGGGGGAGTGAAATTCCCACTACAGGTTTCCCCCTGTGTTGGGCACAGCCTGGATAGAGGTCTGGAGCTGGGGGGGGGATGGACATTTTCCTCCCCACTCCCTCCTCAGCTGGCCCATCAGCCAAGGAGGGAGCGTGGCCAGGTGATCGGCTTGGGTATGGGGGGTGGGTGAAACCCCCAGTGTGGACTTCCCCCCTCTGTGTTGGGCATAGCTTGGCTGGGGGTTTGGAGCCAGTTGGGGGAGAGCCGTTCCCCCTCCTCTCCCCCAGCCTCCTCAGCCGGCCTGCCAGTAGAGGAGGGAGCATGACCAGGTACTTGGCCCAGCTCTGGGCACAGTGAGGGAAGGAGAGGGAGAAACGCCCTGCTGGGGCTACCCCTGGCACTGGGGAGACCCAGCGGTTCTCAGTGGTGACAGACGACAGAACAAGAAGCAATGGCTCAAGGTGCATCAAGGGACGTTTAGGTTGGCTATTAGGAAAAACGTTCTCACTAGGAGGATGGTGAAGCACTGAAACGGTTTACTTAGAGAGGTAGTGGCATCTCCATCCTTGGAGGTTTTTAATGCCTGGCTCAACAAAACCCTGGGTGGCATGATCTAGTTGGGGATGGTCCTGCTCTGAGCAGGGGGTTGGACTAGTGATCTCCTGAGGTCCCTTCCAACCCTCATTTTCTGTGATTCTATGACCCTGGTTGGGGGTTCAGAGCCAGGCTGGGGGGTAGTTTTCCCCCTGGCTCTCCCTGCTCAGCTGGCCAAGGAGGGGGCGTAGCTGGGTGATCATCAGCCTGGCTTATGGCTCCAAGCATGGGGGGAGAGGGAGAAATGCCTCATCAGGAGCTTCCTGCATCCCCCACACCCTAGAGAGACCCTGGCTGGGGGTTCAGTGCTGGTCGGGGTGGGGGGGCAGGAGGGAGGTGGTTTCCCCCCCACACCTCCTCAGCTGGTCTGGGACTGAAGTGGGTATGTGGCTATGGAAATCGCTTTTCTCCTGGCTGTGGGTGGAGAGCAAAGAGAGAGAAATGTCCTGCTGGGGGCTTCCCCCCTTCCTCCTGTGTGGGGGAGACCCGGGCTGGGTGGGGTGGCAAGTTTCCCCCCATGCACCCTCCTTAGCCAGCCCGGGACTCAGGAGGGGACATGACTAGGGGGATTGCCCAGCTCCCAGCCAGGCATGAGAAGGGAGAGCGAGAGGGAGAAATGCCGTGCTAGGAGCTTTCCCCCTCCCCCCTATGCTGGGGACACCCCAGCTGGGGGTCTTTGTGGGTGGCGGGGTGCCCAGTCCTGCTCAGCTGGCTGGAGGCCGAGGAGGGGGCATGCCTCAGGGATTCGCCAGGCTTCCAGCTCTCTGCAGTGCCTGGCAGGCTGGGAGGTGTGCCCTAGTGCCCCCGGGTACTGGTGTGGGCCACTACAGGGGTCTGGCTGCCTTTCTGGTTTGAAAATCATACATCAGTTCACTTGCTTGTTGGTTCAATCTAGGCAGTTCAGAGAAACCTGCAAAGATTTAATCAATTCAGCCTCAGGCTTTTTGACTGTCTGTACTTAGCCAAAGTGTTAGATAATTTGGAACCAACTGTCTTTTGCAGTGATAAACATATTATTACTGATTTGCATCTTGTATCCATCAGCTGATCTCTTTTGCAAAACCCTAGATCCACTGGTGCCCCTGTTAGACTTCAGTAATGCACACATTATTTCAACAGCTGATCCTAAATGCAGGCAAGCAATTTAAAATGATTAAGCTTTTTCACTACTAATTATTTGGTGTTGGTATAAAATTACAAGAGAGTATATCAGTACAAATAACAAGATAGTCATTTTAAAATCTAGGTACAGCGAGCTTCCAGCCAAGATAATTTTCCCAAGTGTTTATACATTGTGGTGTTGAACCCATCTCCCTATGTGGGTTGTTCCCATTGACACTTGTGGTTACAAATGTGCACATAGGTTCCCATTAGGCAAGCTGTAAGGACTAAAAACAGAATCTGAAGCAAATTGTTCTATTTTCATTTAAATATGTTTGAAGGACTTTCATTTGAGCATATTGCTTATTTATATCTACATAATGATAAGAGTGTTAGAGTTAGGCTTAATGTTTGCCATTATATTGCTAAGAGTACCTGTTGGCTTTTGCAGTAAGTTCTGCAATAAGTTCTGCAAACTTATTGTTTAAATTCAGTTATTTTACCATTAAAAAGACATGTATATCTGTCTATCTATCTATCTTTCGTAAAAGGAAAAGGCTGTCAGAAAGGTAATGATTATAAGATTTTTTTCCAACCATGCTTAGATAAGATCTATCAGGTAAGCTCTTTAGAAAAGAAATGCTGTTCTGTGAAATTTCAGTAAAATGGCTAATGTGTTTTTGAATGCTGTGTAAAGGACAAAACCTTATCTGTTTTATCTTTGCATTTTTTGGTGCCTTTGGTACCCCCTTTTCCCCAGGAAGAATTAGAGGTATGAATCAGAATTATGATGAGCTCTACTTAGCATTATATATCCTCTCCCTATCTTACTTTTTCTTTTTTCTTTTTTTGATGAGGCATAGTCCAAAGAGATTCCTAAAGATTTTTAAAGTAGAACCATAACTACAAATTAAATGTGTGGTGGTGAAAGTAGATTCTGGGAGACAGATTCACAATTATGAGCCAACATTCAGGGAGCACCAAGGTGGATACAAATGAAAAACGCACATATTTTTATTTAACTTTAAATTCACATTGTTAAATAACTTTCTTGCAAGCACTTTCTTGTTTGAAATGATAACATTTTTTATAATGCTAAGATTATTGAGGGATATATGGATTCTGTCTGTAAATGGTCCATGTAAATGTTCATTTTAAAGCTTACACTACTTATTGATTGAGGGATTTATGGAGTCTGTCTGTAAATGGAGAATTTTACCTTTCAGAGAAGCTGTTGTCTAATGTAGAGGGGAAAGAATCAAGTTGGCACTAGCCATCTGCCACCCATCCCTCAGTATAGGTAGTAAGGGAGGGGCAAAGCTCTGCTCCGTTATGCAAACATGCTATTTTGGAAATCAGATGCTAAAACATGTAGTGCTAAATAAGTTTTGAATTTTATTTTCTAGCTCTTCAGCAAGAAGCAGAACAGAAAACTATTAGATTTGCCTCTGATATTGGGCTGGTACCAAAGAGTTCAGAAAGTACCTGGAGTAAAGGCAGCTGCTTCTAAGAGCAATATGCAGTTTCTCCAGTTTCCAGACTTGCTGTCTTCCCCAGAAGAGCAACTTCAAGATTTTAGTACATTTTCTGATGGGTCAGAAGAGGACCATGAAGACAAACAGTTTATAGGTGGTCCAAGGCCAACCATGACAAAGTTAATGGTAATTAAACTTTTTAATTTGTTATTTCAATAATAATAATAAGGTTGTAATTACAGTTTTGCCCAAATACTTATAAGGGCAATGTAGCATTCAATGAGAAGTGCTTGGAAAATACCTCTGGATTTATTAATCATTTTAATAAATCTTTTTCTTTCTCGATTGTTGAGCTAGAGATGTTTTAAAATGTATGTTTAATTTGTATTAAATTTATATTAAATTAATCAGAAATTATAAATTTTAAGAATATGAGAAACTAGGCAATAAGATGATGTTTTTGATGAAAATACAGAAATGTTGCTAATCATCACAAAAACAAAAAAAGGACCAGTTCTAGAAATGTAATAAATATCTGCTTTTGGTATTTGAGTTTAGTAATTGTGTTTGAATTACTATTTATGCTGAACTGAGAGCATTGGGGAACCAAATTAGGTTTTGTCAAAGCTAATATAAAAATGTTCATCACTTCTTTCTTCGTAAAAGACAATACAGTGCTTCCATTGGAAAATGAATGGTGGGGAAGCACAGAGAACATAGCTACAACATTACGGAGAGGCAGCTGTACTGTTGTGTGATCCTGCACCATTTAAGTCTGTAGGAACCCTGTTGCTGACTTCAGTGGGCACAGGATCAAGATCCTGTAGACTTTGATTGAATCAAATTATTTCTTATATGTAGGAAAGAGGCATTGAAGCAAAATTTTCTCCTCACCCAACCCCATGCTGGACACTGGACTGGAGCGATCTACCAGCAGCAGTCAATCCTGGAGAAGGTAGGGGGTCTGTTTTTTTCCTCTCCGCTTTACCTATAAAAGCAATAATTTTTCAAGTAAGGTTAATTGTCAGTTTTTTTATTTGGGAAAATAGATATAATAGTGCCTACATTTTACAAAATACTCTTAATCAGTAAAGCTAAAGCTGCTGATCAAAGGAGGGTAAGCATCATTTACCTTCATTTCACCCAAGGGGAAACTAAGGCAGGAAGATGAAGTGACTTGCCTAAGGTCATACAGCAGACCAGTGGCCATGTCAGAAAAAGAACTAATTTCCCCCAAGTCCTAGGCCAGTTCCCTGGTCATTAAGTCACAAGACCTCCTGAGTGCACAATGAATGTTATGTTTATCCCTGCATGTCCAGTGTTATATTTTCAGCTGTGACCTTAGGATGCCTTTATGGGTTGAAGTAGTAGTGAATATTGTTATGATTGGTTTCCTTTTCCTCTGAAACAACACCTGTTTTTAATCAGTGTCAAAAATGTCTTCTAGTAAAAAAACAACAACATGGGGGATCTTGCATCAAACTTCTCTTCTTTAGGCTTCCTGCTACAACTGTCTGCTGTTTTTTGGTTCTATCTAGGCTGAGAACACTTCTACAAGACAGAAACAATTGTTTAGTCTCTTTTTTCTTTGATCCTTTTCAGGAGTGGCCTGAGTATTGAGTACAATTGATATAATATAATTTCCTTGCCAGCTGTCAGGAATCTAGTTGAAAGTAATATTTCTGTAGAAAAATGGAGAAGGGTTGATGCAGTGTGTTTAGAGTACTGGTGGAGCTAACTGCAGTAGCATGGAGCTTCGCGCAGACTAATTTTATTCCCGGGGGTGGGTGATGCAAAGGTAGACATACCTTTAGAGACTTGCTGAAAGGCTAACACAGTGAAATACTTCGTCAGACAGATTACGTGTTATGATCCATTTAAGAAGCATAAAGGTTTTATGCATAGGTATTTCCTCTTTACCTTAGAATATATAGAAATAAGGTCTCTTGCCATACAATATATTTTTGGAAGTCATAGGATCGTAGAAAATAGGGATGGAAGGGACCTTACAAGGTCATCTAGTCCAGCCCCTGGTTCAACTGTGAATCATGTCTGACTAAATTATGCCATCTAAGTGTCTGTTCTAAACTGCTTTTGAAATTTAAAAAGGATGGAGATTCCACAGTTTCTCTAAGTAGCTTGTTCCAATGCCTGACCGTTACTCCGAAAGTACTTCCTAATATTCAACCTAAGTTTTCTCTGCTGCAGCTTGAGACCATTGCTCATGGTCTTGTGGCCTGTAACTACAGAGAAAAGGTTTTCTCCACCCTCTCTGTAATTGCCCTCCAGATATTTGAAGACTTGTCAAACCCCCTTCAATCTTCTGTTCTCCAAATTAAATTACCCTAGTCTTTTCAGTCTTTCCTCAGAAGTCATGCTTTCTAGGCCTCTAATTTTTTTTTTCTGTTCTCTGCTGGACCTTTTTCAATCCTCCATCCACATCTTTCTTGAAGTGTGGGGCCCAAAACTAGACATAGTACTCCAGATGAGTCCTCATCAGTGCTGAATAGAGTAGAGAAATCACTTCCCTTGATTTTCAAGTGACACTCTTGTCAATATTATCCAGTTTGCAGTTGACCTTTTTCACAGCAAGAGCACACCATTGGCTCATATTCAGGTTATGGTCAGTCATTATGTGTAAGATCAGAATGACCAGAAATGAATTGTCACCTTCTGACGTTCACCTTCTTCTGACTTTCAAATGCAGTTCTCAATGATATGAGTGCCCTCAGCTGTGCTATGACCTGATTTATAGTTTTATGGAAAGCATCGTAAAAGGGACGCATCAAACTTGCTTTAAAAGTTTCTGATGTGTGATTCTTTCTTTGCTTCCTCTCTTCAAACATGGAACTGTCAGTTTCAGTTCAAATTTGCCTTGATGGCTAGTTTCTCCTTTTGATAGGAAAATGTCTAGAAAGATTTATAAGGGGAATAGTTTTTTTTAATGGATGCTGCACTTGAAAACTTCTCCTGTGCTGGAACCAGTTCTTTAGCAAGAAGTCATGGGTTTTACTTCTCTGTCCAGTGGACTGGAAGAAAAAGATTACGGTTTTGAAACCTTTCTCTTGAAAGAGTTACAAAAAGACATCTGCAGATTGGTTTTATCTTACGTTCTTCAATCCTAGTTTATAAAATCTGTTTTTCTAGTTTTGCTTTATTTTTTAAAATATTTCTGTAGGGA